CTGGTGAGTGGCGATGGCGGGTGGTGGCGAGTGGGTGGTGGGTGGTGGTGGTGTAGAGTGGGTGGTGTGGGTGGGTGACGGTGGCGGGTAGTAGGTGGTAGCGAGTGGGTGGTGGTGGCGTGGCGGCGGATGGCGGGTGGTGGTGGGTGATGGTGAGTGGGTGGGTGACGGTGCGCGGGTGGTGGGTGGTGATCGCAGGTGGGTAGCGGATGGCGGGTGATGGCGGGTAGGTGGCGGGTGGCGGTGCGGTAGTGGCGGTGTGGATGGGTGGGTGAGTGGGTGATGGTGGCGGGCGGTAAGTGGTAGCGAGTGGGTGGTGGTGGTGGGTGGTGGTGGTAGGTGGGTGGCGGGTGGTTGGTGGTGGCATGTGGGTGGTGGTGGCAGGTGATGGATGGTGGTGGCAGGTAGGTGGTGAGTGATGGTGGCAGGTAGGTGTGAGTGGTGGTGGAAGTAGTGGCAGGCGATGGATGGCAGTGGCGGTGGTGAGTGGATGGCAAAGTGGGTGGTGGTGGTGGTGGTAACGGAAGACAGTGGTGGAAATGGTAGCGGGTGGTGGCTAATGTTGGGTGGTAAAAAAAAAACTGAAAACTCAAAATGGAAACACATTTTTGTGTTTTCAATTTTTGGCCAAATTTATAAACTAAGACCACTGATTTATAAATCAAAAATTTTACCAAACAAGTTTTTTATTGGTTTTTATAAATTTTTGTAAATATAAACAGAAAACTGAAAACGTAAGTGTTACCAAACAGCAGCTTATTGTTTCCTTTTCACCAAAAAGGCTTTGCAATGGTTAATCCAATGGGTAAATTTTTGTGTACTTCAACCAGAGGTCATAAGGTTCTCCTTTCACCTTCATGTATTAGTAATAATAATAATAATAGTAATAATAATAGACAAGAGATAGTAATTAAGAACTCATTTGAAAATTGGAATTTTAGTATTTTTTAAATAAATATAAGATTAAAAAGGGAAATTTGGTGATAGACCTCTCACTGTCTAATTTGGTCTTTCAAAATGACAAGAATTATATAGGTAATTTCAAACCCCTTAATATTTTAAACTTGTTTATTTTACTATATTATCTTTATATCTATCAGCTTTCCTATTAAGCCATCTTCACAGTGTATTTAAGAGTAAAATTTTACTTTGATCATAATAAACTTTACTTTGATTCAGATTACTCTGAATCAAAGTAAAGTTTTATTATGATTCAAAGTAAAATTTTACATTGTTAAGCAAATCAACATGTTTTTAACTGGAATAAAATTTCAAAATAAAATTTTATTTTTGGATCATAGTAAACTTTACTCTGAATCAGAGTAAAGTTTATATGATTTAAAGTAAAATTTTATATGTTAAGCAAATTAACATGTTTTTAACCAGAGTCAAATTTTACTCTTAGATCTATTAACAAATAAATATAAATAAAAAAGCCAATTGGAAACAACAAGGCGACATCTACAACTCAGATTGCTTTCTGGCCTTTGGAGAGAGAGGTGAGGGAAAAGATAAAATAAGAAATAAAGAGATTTAAGAAAGTGATAAGGAGCTAAAATTGGCTTTTCTTATTTCTATATCTCTTATCGACTTCGTGAGGGAGTTCAGAACCTTAACCCTTCAATGATCGTCAATGCCTACAATCGATTGAAGCTCACAATGACACCATTAACGTCGTCGTAGCTGCGAACGACGACAGGAAGAGTGATGAAGGAGAGAGAGAGAGAGAGAGAGAAAAAAAAAAAAAAAAAACCGCAATGTTTGAAGGTGGTGGCGGCAGCGATAGTGGTGTGACAAATGAGCTAAGAGGAGTAGCACCGCGGTAACGGTTGGAGAGAGATCGACGCGGTGGTGGCGATAGATGGAGTGAGAACGACGGACGGCGGCGACATGGGAGGAGAGATCAACGGGTGGTCTCTGACATGGCTATGAAAATAAGCTGTGTTTAGAAGGAGAGGAGAGAGACGGAAGAAGGCGGGGAGAGAGTGGATAGAGAAGGTGAGAAAGATTTAGTTGATGATATAATAGTCTCATAAAAATATTTAATAATAAATTTTTGTCATTTATGCAATACTTTATAATTATGAGGGGATTTAGAAAATATAATTTTTTTCTTAATTCTTTTGACAATGAAAGGAAGGTAAAGGGGTTTTTAGCCAATATAATTTGGAAAGAATCTTTCTATAAAAGAAAGTGAAAAAAAAAAAAATAAAAATAAATAAAATGAAAGGAAAAAATATTTTTAACTTTATAGTAAGTAAATATTCTTAATTTTTTAATATTTTTTAAAAACTTTTTAATTAATATAACCCTTTCCAAACAACCTTAAAGGGCAAAACATTATTTTTTATAAAAAAAAAAAAAAACCAATAAAAAAAACATTAAGGTGTCGTTTGGTAATACTTACGTTTTCAGTTTTATATTTATATTTTACAAAAATTTTAAAAAACTCAAATAAAAACTTGTTTGGTAAATTTTTAATTTATAAATCAATGGTCTCAGTTTTTAAATTTGGCTAAAAAATATAAACTCAAAAATATGTTCCGGTTTTGAGTTTTCAGTTTTTTTTTTTTTTTTACCACCCCAACACTAGCCACCACCCGCCACCCTTTTCACCGCCGTATTTCGTCACCACCACCCAACCCCCACCACCACCTGCCACCACCACCTGCCACCCACTCGCCACCACCACCCACCCCCTGCTGCCAGACACCCGCCACCACCCACCATCCACCCACCCACCTGCCACCCACCCACCCGCCGCACCACCACCACCACCACCACCCCACCCCCCGCCACCGCCATCCGCCACTACCACCTGCCACTAATCACCATCCGCTCGCTACTACATCCATCCCCCACCACCCGCCACTACCATTCATCCGCCATCCCCATCACTACCAACTACCTACCACCCGCCACGTACCCGCCACCAGCCACTTGTCACCACCATCCACCACCTGCTACCATTAGCTACTAGCCACCACCACCCACAGCCACTAACCACCACCGCCACCACCACACCACAACCCACCACCACCACCACCATCACCCACCACCCACCGTCTTCCGCCACCACCACCCGCCATCATTTTCCACCACCGTTTTCTTGCCGCCACCACTTGTTATTTCCCACTCTTTTTTATATTTTTAAACTTTTTAAGTATTTTGTCTAAGCCAAAAACGCATTTATAGTTTATATTTTTCTAAAAATAAATAAAAATTAATTTATAAATTTTTAATAATATAACTCAAAACGTAAAACGTACCGCACAAACTAGGGGTGTTTGCGGATCGGTTTTTGTGCGGTTTGCGGTTCGGTTTTGACCCGCCCGCATCTATGCGGTTTGGGAAAAAGTCAACCCGCAACCGCCCGCAAGTGCGGCTTGGCGGTTTGTGCGGATAGGGTTTGCAAATGCGCGGGCGGTTGCGGGCGGTTTGCGGTTTACCATACTTTTTTTCTTTAAAAATTAATTTTTCGAGTCTTTTTTTCCCAGCGGAATTTAGGCATCAATTCATTTTATATATTTGGATACACAATTTTTTGATGAGTTTACAAAATAAAAGTTGAATATCAATGCCAATTAAATGAAAGTACCCAAACAAAGAGACCTACACTACATTTTTTTGCCATGAAAAAATGTATATCAATTACATTAAAGGTTGTACTCAATTAGAATTGCCAGTTCAGTAATCAATAATCAAATTATAAGTTCCATCGACCATTAATAAAGGAAATTTTATTAGGAAAAAGTGGATGAATCACTAATGAAAATCATATAAGAAATCAACGTTTAGGACTTGATTAATTCTACGGCATTAAGAAAGTGTGAGAAAATACTTAAAAATAAGGACCTAAGTGTCATGATGAATATAATGGTACTCTGTAAAAGTTTTACAAAGTTGGTATAATAAAAAGTAATAAATAATAATAATATAATAATAATATATAAAGTCGCGGGCGCGTGTTTTGACGGGTTGCGGGTTTACCGCAACCGCGCCCGCCAACCCGCAAGTTAAGGATTATTTTACACCTACTGCATATACATCACCATCATGCATCCAATTACCCAACACCATTGTTGCTCATTATGAGATTAAGTCCAGCACCATACAAATGCTCCCCTCATTCCATGGACTAACTCATGACGATCCTTGTAAGCATTTATTTGCTCGACATTGAGGATTCAGAATTTCACAAATGAGGCCTTAATGTTATGATTGCTTTCATTCTCATTAAAGGATAAAGCCAAACATTGGCTAAATTCTACCTGCTAATTCAATCACAACTTGGGACCAATTACAGCAACGGTTCTTGAAGAAGTACTTTCCCATAGGTATAACCAACCAACTTAGGCGAGCCATCACAAACTTTGCTCAAATGGATGGTGAGCAATTCCATGAGACCTGGGAAAGACTTCGAGACCTTCTCCAACAGTGTCCCTGCCACCAAGTGCCTAATTGGCAACTTGTTCAAACATTTTGTTATGGCTTAACGGAGCCGCACCGCCAAATAGTGGATTCATCCTGTGGTGGGACATTCATGTCTAAAAATGATGTCGAGGCATGGCAATTGTTTGAGAACCTAAGTGATAATTCCCTTCACCATGCCTCTGCAGCCCGGCAAGTCCGGCAACCAATAGTTGGAGCCCCGAAAAGAGGGGGCATTTATGAGGTCGGGCAAAACCTAGAGTTAGCCCAACAAGTAGAGGCATTGTCCCGCAAGATGGACCAATTATTAGCTACGGGACATGCTCCTACCCAACATGATCAGCCTCAATTTCACGAGGCATGTGTTATTTGTGCAAGCCCTGCTCATGACTTGAGTGACTGCCCTTCGGCATCACAATTTCCGGAGTTAGTCCAAGAGCATGTGAATGCGGCTCAAGGATTCTCCAACCCGGGTAATGGACACGCTTCGCACACATATAATCCGGGATGGAGAAATCACCCTAACCTCTCATGGAGACCCCCTTCACAAGGCACTTCTTACAATCCTCCACCACCAAGGCAGAAT